ATAATTTGTATATCTTCAAATTAATCCTTGTTCAAACTAAGTTTTAGGAAGAATGGCATAACTGCACACATTGGGAATAATCCTGACTTTACACTGATGCCAACAGGGATGCAAATGGAATTATACCTGCATCAAACCAGAATCAGGCCCCTCCTGTTGGTAACACTCAAAGTAGGAAGATAAATCTGATTACTTCTGTCTTCTTATTTGACATAACTACTTAGCAGGGAAGGAGAGCTAATAACGGACAACGCCAAGAAGGCTGAGGTGTTCAATGCCTGTTATGCACTAGTCTTCACTAAAAAGGTTAAATGTGAGCAGATGCTTAACACAATTGATATTAACAACAAGGAGGAAGGATCAGAACAGGTTTAAGGATATTTAGATAAGTTGGATGTGCTCAAGTTGGCAGGGCCTGAGAAAATTCACTCTAGGGTACTTAAGGAACTAGCTGAAGCAATATTGGAACCATTAGCAAAGATCTTCAGGAACTCGTGGAGGATGGGTGAGGTCTCAGAGGACTGGAGAAGGACAAACATGATACCCGTCTTTAAAAGGGGAACAAAGAGCACCTAAGAAATTATAGACCAGTCAGTCTAACTTTGATACCAGGAAAGACACGGGAACAAGTTATTAAACAATCTATTTGTAAGCACCTGGATGATCATAAGATAAGTAATGACCAGTGTGGGTTGGCTGAGAAGAAATCCTGCCAAACCAAACTCATTTCCTTCTTTCACAGGGAGTGAAAGAATAGATTGGGGGAAAAGTGTACTCCTTTAAGGGCCAGGCTGGAGCCTACAGCCTGGGGATAATCCAGGAGACCCTGCCCCTGTCTGAGCTATTTAAACAAAGGAAGAGGCAGCTGAGGGGAGTTAGAAACCAGGCAGGCTGCAGTGGTGTATGGTTTCTCTCTCAGGCACCAGGAGACAAGCCTAACCTGACTCTCAGACTTGAGTTTGTGGACTTTTGGGGAGCTCTTACCAAGGTCCTGATAAATGGTCTTATGATTCCTGTCCTGAAACCTTATTGAAAGGGGACATGCTATTTAGCTAATGCATGCTAGCTTCTCCTTGCCCTGGGTGGTTAAAGTGAATCTATTGCTGCTCCACTTGGGGAAAGTCAGGTGGAGAATGCCTGCAGCACCACTTCAAGTCACAAGGAGGGAGTTTACTAGCATAATAGATAGGAGGAAGCAGTAGAAGTCATATATCTTGATTTTCGTAAGGCTTTTGACACAGTCCCACGTGATATTCTCATAAGCAAACTAGAGAAGTGTGGTCTAGGTGAAATTTACTATAAGGTGAGTTCACAACTAGTTGAAAGAACATACTCAAAGAGTAGTTATCAGTGGTTCGCTGCCAAACTGGGAGGATGTATCTAGTGGGGTTCCACAGGGCTCAGTCCTGGGCCCAGAACTATTCAGTATTTTCATTAATGACTTGGATAAGAGGGTGAGGAGTACACTTATAAAATTTGGGATGACACCAATATGGGAGGAGTTGCAAGCACTTTGGAGGACTGGATTAGAATTCAAAAAGACCTTGCTAAATTGGAGAATTGGTCTGAAATCAACAAGATGGAATTCAATAACAACAAATGCGGTAGGAAAAATCAAACCCACAACTACAAAATGGGCTAGGCAGTAGTGTTGCTGAAAAGAATGTGGGTGTTATAGGGGATCACAAATTGAACATGAATCAGCAATATGATGTGATTGTGAAAAAGGCTGATATTCTGGGGTGTACTAATAGGAGTGTTGTATGTAAGACATGAGCGGTGATTGTTCTGCGCCACTTGGCACTGGTGAGGCCGCAGCTACAATACTGTGTCCAGTTTCGAGACAGAAAAGTTGTGGACAAATTGGAGAGAGTCCAGAGGAGAGCAATAAAAATTATAAAAGATTCAGGAAACTTGACTTTATAGGAAAGGTTAAAAAAACTGGATACGTTTAGTCTTCAGAAAAAAAGACCCGGGGAGGTGGGGGTGTGGGGCTGTGAACAATCTTCAGCTATGTTAAGGGCTATAATAAAGGTTTGTGATCAGTTTTTTTTCCATGTCCACTGTCAGCAGAACAAGAAGTAATCGACTTAACCTTCAGGATGGGAGATTTAGGTTAGATATGAGGAAAAGCTTTGTAATTATAGGGGTAATTAAGTTCTGGAATAGGTTACCAAGGGAGGTTGTGAAATCCCTATCATTGGAGATTTTTAAGAACAGGTTAGACAAACACCTGTCTGCGATGGTGTAGGTATACAGGTGATGGAGTGTTGGAAGTCCTTCAACATTGCTGATTGCGTCACTTATATTAAACAGTCAATGCAGCTGGTGAAACCTATGGAAAGAATGTCTGAATGATTTTAAGGGTTTCCCGACCATTGACAAAGAAGTGAAATGCATTGTTCAGGTGGCCAGGCAAGTGGGTGGTGATGGCTTCGTCGACATCCTTGAGGAAGAAATTGAAGAATTAATTGACAGCCATAGAGAAACATTGACTAACGAAGATTTAGAGGAACTGATAAAATCGTCTACAAAAGACGAAGATGATGACAACGAACAGGAAGAGCCAGCAAGTTGGAATCTTCATAAATTTTCTGAAGTGTTCCAAGCAGCAAAACACTTGAATGATTTAATTTCTGAATACGATCCCTCTATGGAACAAAGCCTCAAAATCACACGTAGTATTATGGACGATTTGAGATCGTATCAAGAAATGTTTGAGCAGCTCAAGAGACAACAGCGACAGTTGCCAATCACTATGTTTTTCAAGGAAAGACATCCAGCAGCAGATGAGCCTACGCAATCAACTTCACAAGCTGAACCAGAGCCAACCACTTTGTCTACGACTCGCTCTCTGTCACCTCCATCTCCTGGATCGACATCAAGCATTGACGACCCCCTGTAATTACCCCCTGTAATTAAAAATACATTACTGTAAAATTATATTTGGTATATGTATGCTTTATTATATACTGTACATTACTGTATACATTATACATGTATACATATTACTGTACAGGGTTGTACAGTATACACAAAACCATGTACAGTATACTGTACTTTATGGGCGATTTAAGGGATTTTCAAGGGTAATTTTGACTATATGTGATCTTTGCTTTAAGTGCTGACTTTAGAACCCAACCCCCACGTAAGATGCGACTCCACTGTATTTGGTCCTGCCTGAGTGTGGGAGGACAGATTAGATGACCTCTCAAGGTTCCTTCCAGCTCTACGTGTCTGTGATTCCATTATTCCCACTAGTTGCCAGTCCTGTTTAAGAGTCTTTATTCTGTGTTATTTGGAGAGTAATGTTCTGTTTTTTCAAGGACGGCTCTGTGTGTATGATCCTTTATTATGTTCTTAATTTATAGTTCTCCCATTAACTATAACATATGCAGAGTTAGAATAGCAGTTAAAGGTATAATACAATTTGGTAGCTGTGCCATGTCAAATTGGAGGGGCAGGGGGGAGTGACAGGATGGTCCCACAATTACCAACAAAAAGTGATGATATGCTCCAGTTTTTCTGAATTTTTTTCTGAATTCCCCCGCCCCACACACACACACATTTCAGATTTTGCCATCTTTTGAGCTGGCAGCGATGAGAAGTGGAGAAATGCCATAATTACCTAACTCCCTTAAATCTCTCTTTTGAACCACTGAAAGTGTTTTAAGCACCTTGAATATCAGCTGACAGAAATTTGTGAATGCTAACATCCCAGTAATTAGTGGCAACAACCGACTCGATATCACCAAAAACATTTTTTAGGTCAAGGCCTAAAAAGATGTTTAGCTAAATTGTCAAAATATGTATTGGTGTTTTAGCATCATGAACAATGACAATGACCGACTGACCTCTGAAATACTGGGAGTTACTGATACCACTGCCTAGAACAAGTGCGTGAGTATGTGCAGTGAATTTATGGAAAATTTCAAACTCTCTTTCATAGCTGTCACCAGTCATGTCACTATGTTTTTATGACTATGTAGAAGTCTAAATTACAATATATTTTATATCTATATCTATAAAATGAGTTTTTAGCAACAAAGAGAATTAAACTATAACCGTGTTGAAATCTTAAAGGTACATTTACACTGCACACTTCTTTAAGTGGATCTGTACTCTACATGCTGTTGAGACCAACTAGCTGTTGAGACCAACCATATAAACAGCAGTGTAGCCAATGAGGCACGGCTAAGGCAAGTAAAGACACACTTGAAGGGTGTGAGTATGTACCCTACACGCTCTCTACTTGCCCAAGCCGTGCTTCCCCATCTATACTGCTGTTTTTAACAGTGCAATGTCCAGCTGCCTCCCTGCTGTTGGAGCCTTTCTCCTCCAAAGGAAAAGACTCCCCTTGCAGGGAAAGGCTGGGCGGGAGAGCCTTTCCCCACTGCCTCCCGCCTGCTGCTGCGGCCTTTCTTCACCACAATGAAAGGCTCCCTCAGCAAGGAGCTGCTGAAGCTTTTTTCCCCGCCGTCTTTCCCCCTGCCAGAGCCTTTCACTGGCACGTGTAGCTACACACTACAGTGTGGACACAGCAGGCTTTTCACAGTGGCGTGTAGCTACACAAACTCTACACACCACAACCACTGGTGTGTAGTGTAGAAACTGTAGATGTAGCCTAAGACCCCACCCCCACCCTCCCACCCATAGGAATGGATTGATTCTAAGATTCAGGGTAACTGCTGAGTCATACTGGCAGATGAGTCCAGTTAGCTCCAAGCAGGATATAAGGAGAACATTGGGCTTGTTTGGGCAGAGGCTTCTCTGGGTAAGAAGAGAGGCCTCCAGGGGGAAGGTGTAGGAGCAAGCTAAGTGCAATAGCTAGTTTATTGTGTTATTTAAGTTAAAAATGTAAATCAAAGGTAGGGAGAAAGTTTTGGACACTGGGTGGGAGCAGGAGGTGCTGTGTGGAGAGAGTGGGGTGCAACTCTCCCCATTTGCCCATACACAAGTAAAAACATGAAGTGTCTTGATTAAAACAAGATACAGATGTGTGTCATTGTATATACAATTTTCTTGGGGTACAACAGATTGTTGCTGAAGCTTTTGCCATCACTGCACTTGAAGATATAAGCAGATCAAAGGGGCGGGGGAATAGGTTATCAAAGGATTCTTGTGTGTGCTGTAGACTTGGCATCCAAATACCAATTAAAATGTTCTTAAAGCATGATAGGGCTTTGCATAAGAGGTTCTCATGTTTGTAAGCTCTCCAGAGCCAAGGACTCTACCTTCCTGTTTGTAAGGACAGTGCCTAGCCATATTGTGGGCACTATTGGAATAATGATGATAGAGAAGAAAAATTAAGTTGTCTGGAAATCGTTTCACTGAAGGTTGATTCTTCAGTGTCAGACATCTGAAATCATTAGCCAGTGGACGTTTTTCTTTCCTTGTTCTTGTAAATATATGCCTGCTTTCATAGATTAAAGTTAAAAATAACAGTTCAGCATATGCAGCAAAGAGTCTTGTGATGGTGTCCCTGGTGTAGATATGTGGGCAGAGTTGGCATCGAGGTTTGTTGCATGGATTGATTCCTGAGTTAGAGTTACTATGGTGCGGTGTGTCGTTGCTGGTGAGAATATGCTTCAGGTTGCGTGTGGGCGAGGACTGGCCTGCCTCCCAAGGCCTGTGAAAGTGAGGGATCATTGTCCAGGATGTGTTGTAGATCACTGACGATGAATTGGAGAGATTTTAGCTGAGGACTGTATGTGATGGCCAGTGGAGTTCTGTTGGTTTCTTTCTTGGGCTTGTCTTGCAGCAGGAGGCTTCTGGGTACACGTCTGGCTCTGTTGAACTGTTTCCTTATTTCCTCATGTGGGTATCATAGTTTTGAGAATACTTGGTGAAGATCTTGTAGGTGTTGGTCTCTGTCTGAGGGGTTGGAGCAAATGTGGTTGTACCTCAGTGCTTGGCTGTAGACAATGGATCGTGTGGTGTGTCCAGGATGGAAGCTGGAGGCATGAAGGTAGGCATAGCGGTCGGTGGGTTTTCGGTATAGGGTGGTGTTAACTTGACCGTCACTTATTTGCACCGTGTTGTCTAGGAAGTAGACTTCACGATCAGCCATACCATCACCGGTTCATTCACCTGCACGTCCACCAATGTAACATACGCCATCATGTGCCAGCAATGCCCCTCTGCCATGTACATCGGCCAAACTGGACTACGTAAAAGGATAAATAGACACAAATCAGATATTAGGAATGGCAATATACAAAAACCTATAGAAGAACACTTCAACCTCACTGGACACACAATAGCAGATTTAAAGGTAGCCATCCCGCAGCAAAAAAATTTCAGGACCAGACTTCAAAGAGAAACTGCTGAGCTTCAGTTCATTTGCAAACTTGACACCATCAGCTCAGGATTAAACAAAGACTGTGAATGGCTAGCCAACTACAAAAGCAGTTTCTCCTCCCTTGGTATTCACACCTCAACTGCTAGAAGAGGGCCTCCTCCTCCCTGATTAAACTAACCTCGTTATCCCTAGCCTGATTCTTGCTTGCTTATTTATACCTGCCTCTGGAAATTTCCACTTACATGCATCCGACGAAGTGGGTATTCGCCCACGAAAGCTCATGCTCCAATACGTCTGTTAGTCTACAAGGTGCCAGAGGACACTCTGCCGCTTTTACAGATCCAGACTGACACGGCTACCCCTCTGATACAGTTCAGCATATGAAATATGAAATTAAATAATTCTTCAGGCTGGAAACAGCAGTGCCACAGCTAGATAATAAAATAAAAATAATGCAGGCAATCTGAGGACTGTAAGGATGGAGTATCAGCACAGGCACACATTTTTACTTTTTTCTGTGGACACAATTAGGGAATTAGTTGTTGTTGCTATCTCCCAGTTATGCCTTTTAACTTAATTATAACAACTTTAGTTCAGTCAAAAAATTGAAGTAACATAATAAGTGAAGGAAGAGGGTGTCATGTTTATTAACTATATCCAGCCCCATTTAATTCTTCAATTCATTCTCTAGCCTCAACCCTGGCCATACTGGCTTCCAAGTGACAAGTACTCTATTACACCCAGAATGTTCCAGATCTTAAAGGTGATGCATCTGTACACAGTCACCATGGCTGGTAGAGCTCCCTACATCACAGTTATAATGCTTTAAAGCCTATAGGATCTTCCATGACTATGGCAGTCCAGTGGCTTAGACAGCGACTCTACATTTCATAGGTACAGTCCACTTCTTCTCCTCTCCAGTTTCTTTCCCTCTCGGTTTCTCCCTGAGATTTCTGGCCCGTTAAAAGACAAGGTGAGGACAAGATTGGGTCAGTCATTTTTGGCCACCTTCTCAGAAGGCTCACAGTGGCCAAAATCTGGTATTTGTGCAAATGTACCTTGGCACTCAGTACAGTACTTCAATAGCCCATGTTTTACCAGGTAAATGAAGACAGTTGTAGTTCAGAGGGGTATATGCTGGCTTGGAGTCACCCCGGCAACCAGGCATACGTGTTCTGGAGGCATTTTTTTAATTAGTTATAATGATATAACATTGGGGAGTTTGGCATTCAGCTGAGAAGGTGTGTACTAGCTCACTAGAATGATGGAAAGACATTGTATGTAAAGAACGTGGATTACCCCATCATCCTTGAAAAAAGGATTAGAGATACAGGTTGCACAACACATCTCTGATGCCACTTAGGGGAAGGGTGAGGTTTGGGGTGAAGAGTTCATCAAAGCATCCATGTAGACAGTAGTGGAGGACTGCATTGTAAACTGAGAGACTGGGAGTCTGTTCTTACTCTGTTCTGACATTGTGGGAGCTTGATAGCACCTGCTGAATTTGAGTCTGCAAAACCGTTTTATTTACATCCTTCGCCCTCCAAATCTTGCACATCTGCACACTTGGGAGTTTCTGTAACACTTGTCTTTTGGGATGAAATTTTCTGTGCTTGGTCTCTGTCCAAACACAAATGTGATTACCAAGGTGAAGCAGAATCCCTTCCGTTGTTGACTCTTTTTCCATTTTAAAATAGTTCGGGCATACCGGAAAAAGTGGCTACAGTTTGGAACTTGGTATGGACATAAGTCTTCACTGAAGCCTGGCTTTGGTTTGTTTTGAGGGGAGGGGGAATTGGTTTTGAACCATTTGAACATTTTGATCATGGGTAGTAGAAATAGCCTTATCTGGGACAATGCAGATTTGCAAATTGAGAACAAATCTATAATTTGGAGGAACTGGCTGAGCCTGGTATCCTGGATTTCTCAATTAGTCCATCATGAGGACTTTGTCCCTTTTCTAATACTAAAGGAACATTATGAACTGCCATCTGCAGTGGAGTGGCAGTACTTACAACTAAGACACCTGCTAATTTATCAGTTTGGGCCAGATGCTCTAGGACTGCCAGAGGCCCCAGAACTATTGGGAACCTTAGAAATGCTTCATGAACTCCCCAGGCCAATGTCCTTAGGTGCCGGCTTCCTCATTTCCCCAGGGGTGCTTGATCCCTGCTCTGCCCCAGGCCCCGCCCCCACTCCACCCCTTCCCCCAAGGCCCTACCCTGCCCTGTCTCCCACCCTGCCTCTTCCAACCCCCTTTCTGCCCCTGCCCTGCCTTTTCCCCCCAGCCTCTTCCCTTGCCCTCCCCAAGGCGCTCCCCACTCTCACTCCACCCCCTCCTCCCATCTCCTGCACGCCATAGAACAGCTGATCTGTGACAGGTGGGAGGCGTTGGGAGGGAGGGCGAGGAGCTGATCAGTGTGGCTACGGGCAGGCAGGAGATGCTGGGGGGAGGGGAGGAGCTGATCCATGGGGCCGCCAGTGGGTGCTGAGTGCCCCTTTTTTATTTTCTTTTTTCTGTGGGTGCTTCAGCCCCAGAGCACTCACGGAGTCGACGCCTATGAACATGTCCACTGTGTACACTTTACAAATGAAGAGAAACTCCATTGTTCTGGAGTTCTTTGTGAAAGCGTGGGAAAGGGATTTATCACAGCCCTTAAAAGAATCCCAGTGGCAGAGCATATTACGGAATGTTAAAAATGCTTCTGTTGATCTCAGGCTGCACTTGATAGAAAAGATTTTATTGAAAATGTATTGGATGCCACCAAGGCTAAAGACCGTATCCTCAGATATTTGTTGGTGCTGTTCCAAAGAAAAAGGAACCCTAATGCATATGCTGTGGGACTGCCCCACAGTCAGGCAGCTGTGGAAAGAGGTGAAAATAGAGCTTGACTTGAGCAACCAAACCTCAGCCAAAAATTATATCCTAGGTGATATCCCTGCTGAGCTGGGTTTAACTCCTCCATGAAGACTTTGGGCTACAATGATCACTGAGCGCATGATTTTACAAAAATAGAAGAGTAGGCTTATGTCCAGAATGGAGCGGTGGTATGCAGGCATGTCTAAGTTAGCAGCTTATCACTGTAGAGAGCAATTGTATGAATTTGAAGAAATTTGGACCCTGTTTCTAGATACATTTGGATAAAAACTGTTGAGATGGCTCAAATAATGCCAGACCTCCATTCCACCTGACCTTTTCCGCTTTTTCTCTCTCTCCCCCCACTGGTCCCCTCTTTTGCCTGCTCTTGTATGTCTTCTCCTATTACGTTACTGTTACCCCCACCCAAACATGTTATGTCTGTGTAAGTACTTGTCTTGCAGCTTTGGCAAGTTGTAAAATTGCGCAGTTGCATAACTCTGTTGATGATCCTGTGAAACATGCAGTATTTGGAAACATATACAAGATGTAAGTTAGCTACCATTGTGTACTTTTCACTGGCTGTTTCTTTATTAAAATAAATAAGAAATTCATCACACAAAAAAGAAATAGCCTTCGGTCCCAGCTCACTGTAACACACACAAACACTGCACCTCTGTGCACAACTGATGGGAATGCGAGTCTGTTGATTTCAGCGGGCTTTTAATCATCCCCCTAGTTAGGAACACACTTGTTAGGTGAAAGAAATTACAAGCTCTGCTAGCAAAGCTGGGTACATTTGTTACCTCTAGTCTCCACTGTTGGGGTTTCCTTCTGTGTCGCAGAATTTTTGCCACATTAGTGTTTTAACAAAATGTAGGATAACCTTTGAGGAGAATCTATTATAATAATTGCTTTCAGTAGCATGTCTTCCAGTGATGTTGCACTGCTGTAAAACTCTTATTTCCGCTGCATAGTCTAGTGGCTAGACCTTGAGTTTTACTCCCTGGTCTGACGCTGGCTTACTATACATATTCGGAAGAGTCAATTGACCTTTCTCTGTGTCTGTGCTGCTTTGAAATTATCTGATAAAAGGTACTATGTAAATGCAAGGAATTATACTATTAATATTATTATTTATTGTTAGAACTTGTAATTTTATATTCTTGAATTGATTGCTGTGGAGGAGCTTTGTATCATAAAAGGAAATAGGATAGTATGTTTGTCTGAAGGGGGAAGGGTAATGAGTCAGAAATGTAGTAGTTATCATATACCTTTTCTGTCAATTACAAATAGAACTATTTGTTTACATTACAGTGGTGATGTTTTAGTAATCTGACTGGTGATAGTATTGAATCAGTGATCCTGGTATCGTTCCTCACGCTTACCACTGCTAATAATAATTATTGCATAAATAACTATTTATAAATACTCCAGGTCTGTTTATACCCCCCACTAACATCAGTATCCTGCTTGAAAGCATTCCAAACTCAGCCAGTGTCATAAAACAATAGAGAAAATTAACATTTTTATTGTGGACGCAAGTTACAATTGAGCAGTAATCTGGTGGATCATCTGATTTTTATGATCCATGATGAGAAGTGTAGCTGTCATATAAAGAATAAATTTCCCATCATAAAACCTCCCTATCTAATTTCAGCACCAGACTGAGCACTGCCTCAGTTGCTCATTCTACTAATAAACACTGTTGGAGGAGTGAGTTCCCCTTCTGCTTCCCCTCCCTCCATTCATTACACATTTTGGCAACAAGTGTTTTAATGGAGCCTACCTTCCTCAGGCAACTGTTATCAGAGGTCCCCACTGGGTAGCTGGTGCTGCTGAAGATTGCCCATGAAGAAGTCTCTATAAAATAGTGGGGTAGGATATTATTTCTGTCAGTATTCCGTGAAGCAGTTTCTCTTCAGGGAGTTAAGTCCACCAAGTATCATCCACGGTGGATCAAATAGAATAAGGTGTCTGGTGCCATCAAAGGATCCCCTGTCAAGCT